TAGATTTTTCTGATGAGTTATCTGTTAAACTGCATCCCAATCATCACAAATACTGCAGTAGATCTATTGGAACCAGCATAGACCCAAGATTCTCACAGAAATCAGTCAAGTTTGGTGAAGGAAAAATCATGGGTGTGCGAGAGATCTGCAGGGTTGATGGCAACATCAACAGCCTGAGGTATCAATACATTTGTGCTGCCCATTACATTACAAATCACAGGAGAGGGCAAATTCGGCAGCAGGATAGCGCTCCATCTTATACTTCAGCCTCCATATCAAAGTTCCTGATAGCCAAGAAGGTCAAGGCGCTCCAGGATTGGTCAGCCCAGTCACCAGACATGAACATTATTGAGGAGGCATTGAAGATGAATCCAAAGAATCTTGATGAATTCTGGGAGTCCTGCAAGAATGCTTCCTTTGCCATTCCAGACAACTTTTTTAAGTTATTTGAGTTATTGCAGAGATGTGTGGATGCAGTCGTCCAAGCTCATGGGAGTCATACACAGTATTCATTCTTTTCCCTCTGCACCATGGCTTTATGTTTTATACTGTACATTATTTCTGTTAAGTGACAAGACTTTTGTCTTAGTAAAGTCAGACCTTACTGCCCTAATCAAATAAGATTAATAATTAAAAATCTAGAGGCCTTTGCCTTCCATCTAAGCCACTTTTGATACCAAATAATCAGCTAGAACTCAATTTATTATTTGTTGTTCCTAAAACTTGTTTATGTGAAAACTTTTTGTCAGGTAGTGTAGAAAGCTATATCAGAAAGTAGTTTCATATCATATGCACATTCTTGGGGTCTCCAATGGACACATGCATTTAATGATGCACAGCACATTCTTGTTAAAAAGCCTCATTCAATAATTGACATGGGTTCATTTTTCCCTAGTGATGGGACACGTTCTCTCTCTCTCTTTTCATCATATCGAGAACAGTACGAAATGATGAAATGCACCAGTTTTGTCTCTCAAGGGAGTTCCCAGTTTTGGTGTCAAATGTGGTTCCCACAAATGTGAATGGAAAGTGAAAGTACATATTGGAAAGATAAATGGCTGAGCTTGTGTCCGTGTGTGTCAGAGCTTGTTAAATGGAAATTTGCATGCTTAACAGTGTTTTTGTGCCGTACAGTAAACGGCACGTTGTGTTCTCTCACTCTCTGACCCCTTACTCTCTCTTTTATTTCTCACCACTTTCCATCTCACTTACTTTCCTGTTACTTCCACTTTTCTTTCATTGCTCTGCCCTCTCTTTTCTCTCGCTGGGTCTCGGGGGACGCCCGTTGTCGCACAATATAATTGAATCCCTTTTTTTTGTTCCATTTTCTCTCATTTTCATTTTCGCAGGCCTCCTTTACGCCTCCCAGCATCAACCCACATCTTCAGCAAATGACCTCTGAACACAACCCCTAAGCCTTCTCGCCTTTAATTATCTCTAATTAGTAATTAAATCCTTCAGTCCTTTTGTAAAGGGCTTTGCAGGGATGTATTAAATGCAAAGGAATTTATTTGAGAGGTTTCTGAAATGCAGTGAATGTTTTTAATGCACTCACATAGCCTGTCCGAAAGAGGAAAAAAGTCTCCGCAATCTCACTCAAATCCCTTAAAGAGTCGTTTTAGCCACAAGTACCTAAATGACTGATTGATTCCACATGGATCTCTCTCAGAAGAGCTCTTTGGCTTGTTCGCAAATCATCAGGTGCTCAAATTTATGATTTTATGATGCTTAGCTGTGAGTGTTTGAACTGTTAAACAGATCTGTATCTGCTGGCTGTCCCGTAATGCGTATTTAGAGTAGTGTGTTTTTTATTTAACCAGTTCAGGAGACGATTTAGTCTAATAAACTTGTTTTGTGATCCACCTCCTTAAGTATTGCAGTGAAGTATAACCATGAGCTTAAGATATTTTGTAGAGCCTTTTTTTATTAGTTTACTTTTTTCTGGACACGGTTCGTTTCTAGACTGCACCCAGATGTTTTCTAAAGTTAAAAGCAAAAGTATGCATTTATGTAATTGTTGTGAAGGAAAAACAGCAACTAGTGTGTCACTGCTTGATTTTGATGTGCTAGTTTTTACAAACAATAAAGTAAATATTAAAAACTACAGTAAAAAAATCCATAACCTGAATATATAGTTTGTTAATGTGCGTTAATGAATTATTTGTGAAGTAGATTTTACTGCACACTGTAAAAAGCCAGACATTAAACAAATTACTTTGACTTGTTAAAATTAAATGTATTAAGTTTGACAAACTTAATTTATGACAGTTTTCAGTAATAAATTAGGTTAATTCTTTTAGGTGTAATAAGGTTTTTATTTATTTAGGAGAACAAGAATGGAACAGTACATACAAGACAGTACAAATCATCTCCTTCCCATGTTAATATAATAATAATACTTTTGTTACAGTACAAATAATTTCCTTCTTGTTAATATAATAATAATACTTTTAAGTTTTGTGGCAATACTTGTACTTGCCATAAATGACACAAACTTGTTAAACCTAAAAGTACTATACTTATTTCTAAAAACTTTCATAAATACTTAATTCATTTAATTGCAAGAAGTCAAAGTAATTTGTTTAAATTTTCACTTTTTACAGTGTAATAGGAATTGGCATATATTTGTCTGTTTGTGGATTAATGATTACATATAATAATTAACTTATTTTGAAAAACCTTGCGAGTAGAAAAGTCAGAATTTCAGGTTCTGACTTTTTACTTACAATTACAGGTATACGTTCTCTAATTTATTAAGTACATACACCTTAAAGCCAAATAAGCCACTAGGTTGGACCCTCTTTTGCCTTCAGAACTGAAGAACTCAATCCTTTTTGACATAGATTCACTAAGGTACTGGAAATATTCCTCAGAGATTTTGACATAATAGAATCAGGCAGTTGCTGCAGTTTTGTCAGCTGCACATCCATGATGCGACTCTCCCGTTTCACCACATCCCTAAAGGTGCTCTATTTGATTGAGGTCTGGTTACTTTGGGGGCCATTTCAGTACAGTGAACTCATTGTCTTGTTCATGAAACAAGTCTGAGATGACTCACACTTCAGCACATGGCGCGTTATCCTGCTGGAAGTAGCCATCAGAAGATGGTGCACTGTGGTTATCGTTGACGCAATGTCGTCAACACCACCATTACCAGCCTGAACTGTTGATACATGACAGGATGGATCCATGCTTTTATGTTGTTGATGCTAAATTCTGACCCTTCCTCAGACCTCATCATCAGACCAGGCAACACTTTTCCAATCTTCTATTGTCCACTTTTGGTGAGCCTTTGAGAGAGTTTTAGCCTCAGTTTTCTGTTCTTAGCTGACAGTAGTGGCATCCTGTGTGATCTTCTGCTGCTGCAGCCCATCTGTCTCAAGGTTGGACGTGTTGTGCATTCAAAGATGCTCTTCTTCATACCTCTGTTGTATGAGTGGTTATTTGAGTTACTGTTGCTTTTCTATCAGCTCGAACGAGTCTGGCCATTCTCCTCTGACCTCTGGCATCAACAAGGCATTTGCGCCCACAGAACTGCCGCTCACTGGATATTTTCTCTTTTTCGGACCATCCTACAGTATGTAAACCCTAGAGATGGTTGTGCGTGAAAATCCCAGTAGATTAGCAGTTTCTAAAAAAATTTAGACCAGCCTGTCTAGCCCTAACAACAATGCTACATTCGAAGTCACTTAAATCACCCGTCAGTATCGCGTGCTTATCTGATATCTGTTTGTATTAGTATACAGCTACTACCCTTGTATAAAATGATCCAACTATTTTATGGTGTGCTTCAAAACAATAAATTCAATATTTTTTTTGTTAAAGCTTTATCGCTCGCTGGCTTCACTGACCTCTCTAACTTTGTTGATTCTTGAATGGCTCATCCTTCCTTGTACTGTAGATAGTGAAACTATCAAGTTAGGCAATGTGACATGTCTTCAAAAGCTTTATTTAGTTCTTCATGTAAAGCTGTACACTGTTAGCTGCTGTTTTACTGACTGGTTGATCCAGTCTAAAATATATCCAAGTTCCAAACAGTGGGCATACTGCTAGTCCATTTTCATTTCTTTTTGGTGACTCTAAACAATCATGAAAATCCAACGTGATCTCACTGTAATTCATTACTTTTTGATTTAGTGGCTAATTCTTATGAATTAGTATGATCTCATTCATACAATTTAGTACGATTTGCTTATCCCCCAGTAACGGTTGGGTATAGGGGTGGGGTTGGGTGCCATGCCTCCTTTTTAAAATCGTACATTTCTGAATGACTGAACTTATAGGAATTAGCTACTAAACTGACAAAATGTAAAATTGTTACGTTTCCTCGTGAGATCAGGCTGGAAAATAACAGTTTTATCTTCAATTTGAATGGCTAACTTATGGAAGCCTTGTTCTGCCTCCGTTGGTTTGGTAATTGTGACTTTCTCACAATTTGAACTTTTTTTTACTTCCAACTTTAAGTGTATATCTCATGATTCTGACATTCAGTAGGTTTTGTTCCAATTCTGATACTAGTATTGGAAATGCCACCGATACCACAAAATAATTCTGGCATTGCCGAGTATTTGAAACTATAAACCAATCCGATACCATTTTCTTAAAAGAGGCCTACTGTTATGCCATATAGAACACCCTCTTGTGTTTGCATTCAGAGCAGTGTAGTATAAATGACTCAGCATCAAGCAAAACAAATGGACATAACTATGTCTTATTTAAGAAAATAAAATCATAAGATATACTGTAAACTGGAAGAAAAAAGTAAAAATTGGAAGGTAAAAAGTCGCAATTTCCTTTAACCTGTTCAAGTAGAAACAGGTTTCTATAAGTTACTAATTGAAATAAAGAAATAAACATTTGATTAGATGTAGCAATGGATTAAATTGACATTTCATACATGCAAAAACTTTTTTTTTTTTACTTGCAATTGAATCTTTTGCATCACAAAGAAGCCAATTTGTCATCATCTGAATGTCTTGCTTTGATATTGTCTCCAACAGGTGATATGCATTGAGGATGAGTGCTGTCGGGGAAAACTCGTCTGACCCTGCCAGGTCAGAGGCTCAGAAGCGCAAGGAAGGCCCATCAGACCTCCTGGGTCCAAGGTACATCATCCAGACAATCAGACAAACGAACAGCAGCAGCTCATAGCAAACTCTGAAACCGCATTCTTTGCAGGATACACATTTCGAGTTTGCACATATGGCCAAGTGAATTTCTCAGTGTCTACAGAACAAACCGCTGAACTGCAATAATCTCGAGCAGGCCTCCCACCGGTGGAGCTCAGCCTAGATAATACACGTTTCTATATAAAGCCCTTTTCCACTGAGTCAGGAAACATCAGTCTGTATAATTCATTCATTGGAAGGAACTATGCATGCCCTCTTTATTGACAAATCTTTCTGTGCAAACTTGCTGAAGATGCACAGTGGAAAATTGAAAATGCAACCTGTTCAAGGTTTGCTCAGAAGGCACTCAAGGAACGTTTGTCTCTTTGTGTTACGACACAATGCACAAAAGAGGATTTTGCTGTCTCAGGTTGTTTAGTCTTTCAGCCATAAATTAGCATTGATTAAGAATATGCTAAATTGCATATTTACTAAATTAACTCAGTTTTATGTTATAGGTTATACATATTCAAACTTAAAATGGCATGTTAATCAAAGTGTATTATCCAAAGACACTCACAATCAATGTTGGGGAAAGTTACTTTAGAAAGTAATCATTACAAGAGGTGTGAAACTACACTGGTCTCATGGTTCATTTCGTTTACGATTATCATGCCATCGATTTGGTTCAATTGGATATCTCAGTGCATCACGGTGCATTGACGATGCTTTCCATAAACAATTTTAGATCTTACTTCACAGCACAAGAAAAATTTAGAAATATATGGATATTTATATATTATTTGTAATGTAATTTTGTCCTTTGATACAAAGTCAGATATATGAACTGTACCTTTAAAAACTCAAGGACTTGCACAGGACAACATGAGCATTCATAGCAAATAGACAAAAGTAAATATCCCGCTCGCTTTATGAGCCCAGTCTAACAAGTTCTTACACCCCTATGATTGGTCAGGCTCTCAACAGAAAGGGTCTGCAACGAAGAAACAATTCATTATGACCCCCCTAGATTACAATATTGAGTTACTCCCAAAAAAGGAACTAGTTGCGTTACTTGGTTACTTTTTATGGTAAGTAATGCGTTACATTACTTTTGAGTTACTTAAGCGATACTTTTAGTGACCTAGCTAAAGCTTGATCTCTATCAGAACTTGCAGGTTTTTTTTAATTCTTTTTTTAACTGTATAGCCTTCATTTACCTTTTAAAAAAGCACATAAATAATAGTAGGATAATGTTATCTATAGATAAACAAGCCGTATATATAGAAGTAACTCAAAAAATTTTTTAAAAGTACTTTACTCGAATATTTAGAAAAATAATATTATTACGTAACTCGTGTTATGCGTAATACATTACCCCAACACTGCTCACAATGTATGTACATATATTTTTAAATATTGACAAATCGTTCAATAAAAAATGCATAACTCTTTTGCAAAAGTAACATTAAAACTGGATTTTTAAAGCATTTTTGTTATGATTTTAAATTTTTAGTAATTGTAATTTTTTGTTTCTTCTCACAGTCCCAAACGAAGTACAGAAAAACGTAACCGGGAACATGAAAATAAGTACATTGAGGAGCTCGCCGAGCTGATTTTCGCAAACTTCAATGACATTGACAACTTCAACGTCAAGCCTGACAAATGTGCAATCCTAAAGGAAACCGTGAAACAGATTCGGCAAATTAAAGAGCAAGGTAAGAAAACCAATACAGCATTTTTTATAACTGATTACATTTTTACTTGTCTTCATAATAATACTCCATTTACAGGAATGTGTTTTTGTTTTAAAACGTTTAAGTTTTGTTACTTTATGCTTGGTGTCCAGACTACTCCAGCATGTAGGAAATGTTTTGAAAAACTGGGGTTCCGTTTCAGTGTTGACAATCCTAAATGCAAAGTTTTAAAAAATGGACACTATAATGCTATAATGGCACCGGGTTTCAGTACCAAACCCTGATTTGGACTGTAAAGCACTGTTTTTTTTTCTTTTGTTTCAGCTTTGCATCACATCTGATGCTTGAAATTGTATTTTTATTTATGTAAATGATTTAATCCATCCAGAATCAGGCTAGTCAACATAATTTAAGAAGTTCTGTTCAAATATTGCAATATGGTAAAAATGTATTTATATTGCAATTTATATTGCAGAAATGCAGCCCTAGTGTACATTGAAATTTAGCCCCAAAATACAGATATATACTTTATAAATAATATTATTAATATTATTTTTTGTCCATAACTCTCAGGCTTAGTCAAACCATCCATCAATTCCAGATTGACTTTCAGCAGGTGCCTGTGCAGATTAGCATCATGCTAACAGCACATTTGGTCTGGTGGGAAACACAGAAAGCCCTGCAGCTTGCATTCATGCCTGTATTAGAAAAAAAAAAAACATGAAGAAACCAATCACTTGGATTGATTAGAAGTCACAATAGAATTATTCCTCTAGATTTGTTAAGTATTTTCTAGTTGTATTGCATTATCAGTGCATCATCGACAACATAATTATTAGCACAATATTTAGATTCAGGTGCAGTGCTTGTTAGCATGTTAGGCTAATAGTTTCTTTAACAATTATACAGATATAATTGCTTTTGGAAGCGTTATAGCAGATTATCTCATAACAACTGAAGTCTCTAAATATAGACTGATTTATTTTTTTATATAAACCATAAGACTGGATTTCTTTGCCACTGTGTGTTTCTCTCCAAATTAGTATCTGTGTTGTTTTCAGCTGACGAGACTGTGTGCTAGTTGACGTGTTATGTGTGTGTGTGTGTGCATTGATTGTGCCTGGGCTGTGATGGAGATTGTTTGTGATGTACTGAGCTCTAGGTTATGTAATGCTGAGCAATGTGAGCTAACAGAGCAACGGTCGGCGGCGTCTGCTGTCGTCCCTTACCCCTCCTTCATCTCCTCCAGCGCTCTGCAGCATCACACACTGCTCTAACTGTGTTTGTACAGTCTCAAACCGCCTCGAAAAAGACACAAACAGGCCTGTTTTGCCTGTAAACAAGGCCTCGAGTGTAAAGAGCAACAGTCAGCTTTCCTTGTAAAGGAAACACAGCATCACTGACACTCACAGGAAGCCCTTTAAAGCAGAAGCTGCTATCTGCTGAAAATACAG